ATATGGATATGATTACACACAGTTAATGTTCCCTACCTATACTGCAATGTCCATCCAATCAGTTTCAAACTGCCTTGTCACAGGAGAGCTGGTATCTAACTGGACAAGCAACTGGCGTAAGATACACCCTGATGGGACACCAGCCCATTGCAAGGCACACACACACACCTAGGCAGTTTTCCCCAGAAGCCAGTTGATCTATCAGTATGTTACCGAACTTTACGTGAAATGAAAATATATGTAGTACAAAGAAAGCAAAAACATTTATAACATTTACATATGTTAAGTAAAAAGTAATTAATGCTTTCAACTTTGAGTTTTAAAGCTGAGGACACTCATACCTTTTCAGAACTTACCCAGAATCTTTATTTTTTCAGATAATATTGTCACCTTGTGAGTTTTTTTTCAGTCTACACTACCAGTTTCAGGTGCTTTGCGATATGCCATACTGCTTTGTAAGGGTATTAACCAGAACAAAAAATCCAAAAGAGTCCAAAGATGACCTTTAAAAGGCAAACACCATAAAGACTCCCCCACAGTTCTCGCGGTAACAGCATACGCAAGAGTGAGAGAATGGTGTGTGACGGCGCATGAGTTTTGGAGATATTGGGGGCATATAAAAGCAGTAACTAAACACTTTTAAACAAAAAACATGCATTTGACCTGAGGTAGTCTGATTTTTCCGTCCATAATTAAATACACATTGGAGAAGGGTTTACTGTATTTTTTCAGTCTGCCCAAAGACTGGGTAAAATTTCCAAACATCCAAACTGATCATACCAGTTTTGCTTGATTGCCAATATGCAGCATCAATGTCTATGGTATCTCAGAATTGCGACTTAGTATCTCAGAATTCCGACTTAGTATCTCACATTTGCGACTTTCAAAATAGCCCACATTTCATTGTCTGTCCTTTTGTTATTGCAACGGATTCGGGTTCTAGGGCTTGTGCCCTCGCCACTCTCACCCTACTTCGTGCCTCACTGCATGGGCTCGAACCCAGGTCTTGCCAGCTGAGCTAAAGCAGACCTTTTTTAAGTAAAAAAGGACATACAATGGAAATGTGTAAAAAGTATGTTTCAGCTTTTATAATTCTAAATTCCTCTGGATTTGAACTGTCCATTTCTGTATTTAATTTTTATATTCTGTCTCCGTTTTTGTATTTCTGGTGTTTCAATAAAAACTTTTTTTAAAAGCCCATCGTGCACTATTCCATCCGGAATTACTAAGTCGGAATTCTGAGTTGCTAAGTCGGAATTCTGAGTTGCTAAGTCGGAATTCTGAGATACCATAGTGCTTTTCTTTTTTACTCCCTGGCGGAAACAGGTTTCCATAAATGTGAGAACATTGGTGTTACCCTTTTAAAAATATTCCTTTGTCGCTGTGTGATCTAGTTACTGTTGTACAGCCCACCCTACGTATATGATTCATAAACATTCATGTACAACCCCCCCATGGCAGCTCGAGTAAGAACACGAATCTGTGAACAGGCCGCACTTGGGTGATTCTGTCACTCAAGTATGTTGGAAGCCTCCTCCAGCCTACTTCTGTATCCATAACCGTCAGCCCAATGCCCATGAACAACCTATTCCCTCCAGTCACCAAAAGGAAGGCCATAGTATCATTGAATCTGTTCTAACCTTTAACTTGATCTTCCTTGAATCTGTTCTAACTTTTACCCTGATCTGCTGGTTTGGCCACCTGAATCAGAGAGGCAAAAACAAACTGGGCAGTCTTTTGAAAATATAATAATAATAATTGCTTACACTTATATAGTGCTTTTCTGGACACTCCACTTAAAGCGCTTTACAGGTAATGGGGACTCCCCTCCACCACCAATGTGCAGCAACCACCTGGATGATGCGACGGCAGCCATAGTGCGCCAGAACGCTCACCACACACTGTCAGTGGGGAGAAGAGTAGAGTAATGAAGCCAATTCATAGATGGGGATTATTAGGAGGCCACGATGGGTAAGGGCCAATGGGAAATTTGGCCAGGACACCGGGGTTACACCCCTATGTCAGAAGGTCATTGGTGCTGATCTTCCTGCCCCTCCACCATCTTATCATTCACATGTTTTGTGTAAAGCAACATCCATCAGTGATGATCCTTCACACCCCTTGTTCAATGATTTCCAGTTACTCCCATCAGAACGCAGATACCAACTCCCCAAGTCCAAAACCAATAGATTTAAGTTCTCATTCATACCTGTAGCCATATCATTACTTAAGACTTGATTTTCTATGCAAATATGAATGTATATTGTTCTTGTTGTGCTTTAGTTTTCTTTCCGTCTGAACACCAACACTGCTGCTATAAAATACATTGCCCCCTCGGGGATAATAAAGACTCTCTCATGTACTGTATGTATGAGCAATGGGTGATGATTCTTTTATTGATGATTGTGCATATACTGTAGTTCTTAGGAATTACATCAGAGGAATATAAAGCTAGAGGTTTTGGACAGTGGTCCCCAGTCCTAGTTTTGGAGTAACTTTGTATATATTTGTTTTTATTCCAAATTATTTATATATCCCTAGTGCTAATTAATGCCTTAATTGGTGTGCCTGCTTGTTTTAACGTTAATTCAACTTGTTTCTTCAAGGTTACTGTTGCCAACCAAATCAGCATACAGAACTTTTCACAGCCTCCCCTTCATTTGCTTGCCATTATTTCTGACTAAACAGCTCTTACTAGTTGATCAGTTGATGCTGAACAGACACAGATGGGAAGAAAGAAATGCTCATTATGGTACAGGGTCATTCCCACCGTAATAAGCATTTCTTCCTTCTGCAGAGGTTTAATCGGTTAGATTCCAGGCAGGACACCTAAATGAATGCCATTCTGAAACAAATTTACAAATATGCTCCACATTGTAAACTTAAATCAGTTTGCCTGTGATTAAAAGTTCAGCTGGTGCATCAAAGATAAGGGACAGTGTTCCTCCTGGATCAGGCTTGGGACATATCTGTCTCCTGTCTTGAATACATCTTATAATAATAATAATAATAACAATAATAACAATAATAATAATAATAATAATAATAATTGCTTACACTTATATAGCGCTTTTCTGGACACTCCACTCAAAGCGCTTTACAGGTAATGGGGATCCCCTCCACCACCACCAATGTGCAGCATCCACCTGGATAATGCGAAGGCAGCCATAGTGCGCCAGAACGCTCACCACACATCAGCTATCAGTGGGGAGGAGAGCAGAGTAATGAAGCCAATTCATAGATGGGGATTATTAGGAGGCCATGATTGGTAAATTCCAATGGGAAATTTGGCCAGGACGCTGGGGTTACACCCCTACTCTTTTCGAAAAGCGCCCTGGGATTTTTAATGACCACAGAGACTCAGGACCTCGGTTTTACGTCTCATCAGAAGGACGGATGTTTATGTTTATTCCTTGACAGAATGTTGGAATCAGAGATATTTTTTAATCGAAATAGCCTCTTGAGCTTACAGTAATCATAATTGCTGTTGGATTGCTGTTATCAAGTAACTAAAGAATGCATTCTATTAAGTATTTACTTTAAAATATGTCTGGGTGATACTAGCTTTTTAAATACAGATTTTACAGTATTCTTGTACCAAAAGGTGTTTTTATGAACTAGGACTTGTCCTAAATACAAATTTATGTTATTCTGGTTCGGATATTCAAAAGACATTTTTAAGCAAACTTTCTCAGTAGCAGAATATACTGTAGATAATGAAACGTGTTGAAGGAAAAGAGGATCTGAGAAGAGATGGATATTGGAAGTCATAACCCCCCACACGGACATACAAGACACCACAGAGCTGTGACAGTGAATCAGACATTCCATATTAGAGAGGAAACCTGTGACTTACACTCACCAGGCATACACTCTAAATTAAATAAATGTATACTATAATGTTGGTTTCCGTTAGAAAAATTATAATCAAGAAGTTTAAGGAAAGAAAAGTAAAAGTTCATAAAAGTGTCTGATGCTGCATGCAAGTAAACTGGATTTCTCTTAAAATCCATTCCTTTCTTTGTCTAGGGTGAAGTGAGCTTCACAGTATTTGCAGTGCTGTGTTTGCTATATAGATTTATATACATTGAACAGTATTACATTATTTTATTTCTCCTCCTTAATGTTTTCTAATTTATTGTCATTGATTTACACGAAGCAATCTTTCTAAAGACACTGACTTGTTATGGATTGCAAAGCACAGAGGATCACAAAAGAGTACTTAAGCAACAGTGGGAAGAATAATGATGTGCTGTAATTCAAAGGCTGGGGTGTACTGGTGAGGATTTCCTTATAGGCGAGACAGAAACAGTAGACATTTTAGATATTATAATTCTACTAATAATTTAGTAGGTGAAGGAGAATACTTATGAATGAAGCTTATAGTTTGCATTTAAACATTCATTATTCATGAGGGCTATACATTTAAGAGATTCAGTCTTATCATACTGTATATACAGCTTTGGAAACACACAAAGGAAGTTTGCACTGTCACTGCAAGCAATGGAAAAAAGTTGAAAGTGGTTTTGATCAGGAAAAAGACGGGCATTTATTTGAGAGAAAATGCAAGCCTTTTGATTGCGGCTTTGATGAGTGTTCTCTTAAAGGTTATTTTTAAAAGCAAAATACCAATTTTTGCAGTTTTGTCGTGTATTAGATAAGACTTCTGTGCTCACATTCACCTATTTAAGTATCAGCTTTGACAACACAGCTGGGCAGTTATTTCCAGACTTTCACAATGCTTAGATTGGTTTGTTCCAATTCTTTGGTGAAAATCCTGTGTTCACTTTGTTACATGGGTAATTTGGTAGTATAGCTTTGAAGCAAATATTGCATTTTCAAAAGCTGAAATTTGGATTTCCTTTTCAGTGGAGGGATAACATTTTGACTACTCATTACTGTTTTATCAGAGAAACTGTAATCCACATATTCAGTTAGCACTGTCAGACACTGTGTTTTTTAGGTCCTGTACGTTAACATGCAACATGTACTGTTTTCAGCCATGTCTCCAGGCTCGGATTCCCAGGTCAATACAGAACACACACGAACCCGCGAGCAGATCATGCAGACCCTCAATGACCTTGCAAGGTCATTTCAAGAGATGGCTGATCGTTGCTTACTGGTGCTTCACCTAGAAGTCAGGTATGGCCCACGTATCAATATTCTTGATAATGAGAGTTTTGCATTTTGTATTCTGTGCTTGAAGTATCAAAATGCTAAATTAATTCACAGCTCATTGTTCTGCGCTGAGTGACTTCATTTCTAAAGCAAGCAGCTGTCCTTTAAAGTACAGTGAATGCAATCAAAAGGCAAACGCTCACCTGAAAATCAACCACTTAATCTTTAACTTATGTATCTAAGTCTCAAATGTGTTTTAAAATCCCACAACGCTTTTATAAAAAAAACAGTTTTTGATGACTTATAAATATGCAAATGATTCTCTACACTACCACAAATCTGCTTACATCACTGACCTTTATGTCCAGTACCGAGGCCCAAGCAGTTTATTTTTCAGAAGCAATGCCCTATAAAAATATATGCATTTTCAAAAAAGAAAGCAACTAACAATAACAGAACAGTATATAGCTAATATAATTAGATCAACTGAAGTTTTTTTCTTCTTTCAGTAGTCTTTTTTCTGTGTGCATAAACATAATTTATCCAGCATAGCTATAATTAAGAGCACAGCCCATGAAGGTACATAACTTATTTAAAAATGTGCAAATTAAATGTAGACACTTATTATTGGTGTTGATGGAAGAAGTGGTTCAGTTCGAAAATATAACTCAATTAAAAGTCAGTGCTGGAGATCAAGGCTGGTAAAGATTGCAGATTAGTGCTATGATGCAATTTTGTAGTGCAGCTGTTCACTTATGCGCATTAAGATATTTATAAATCATTAAAAATGCACTTCTGAATTCCAAAAAGCAAAATAAGGTAGAATATAAGTGTTATAATTCATTCTTCATTTATTAAGGAACAGTAAATACTTTGTGAATTATGAATGCAGTTTATAGGCTAGACCAGGACCATTTCTTTTAAAGCCTTGCATTTATTATGCTATGACTTACCTTGGACTTGAAATTTTTACAGGGTTCATTGCTTCCATTACCTCATCCCTCTCACAAAGCAGGGGAATTATGCCATAGTTGCCAATGTGGAAAGTATGGACTACGACCCCCTAGTGGTGAAACTCAATAAAGACATCAGTGCCATAGAAGAAGTCATGAGTGCCAGTCTTCAGCAACACAAGTTTCAGTATATATTCGAAGGTATGGTATTTTTTAAAAAATCTCAGCTGTAAAATGTATCTTGTCACGTGTAGTTTTTTCTTAGGATGTTTGTTTAAACGGTCAATCTCTAGCAAAGATAGGTAGTTTACATTACAGTATCACAAGTTATTCTTTCATGAAATTACAGAATGACTTTACATCTCGCCAGTATTTTAGAATGTAACATTTAAACAGTTGAGTGTATTTTTTAATTCTTATCGCTTGCCGCCATTCTTCAGTCACTATGAGGTAATAGCTAGACAGGCAGCGCAGTGCGTGAACTAGAATTACATCATCCTGAGCAAACTGCTTCTTGTTCAGGTGCCCAGACATTCATTTTCTTCAAAAACTGACTGCGAGATACTTCAGTAATATATGAGAAAACAAAATAACAAATGATAGGCTCCATAAAGTCTTATTTTTCTAACACATGATTATGATGAGGAAACATCCAGAGTCATTTGTTGTAGCCGCTGCTGTCAGGAGAAATTGAAAAATGCTTTCTGTGGCTGAGGCCTGGATGAGAAATGTATTATGTGTTTGAGTGTAAAAGTGTTTACTCTCTCACTGTTCAGGTCTGGGCCATTTGATCTCCTGCATCCTGATCAATGGAGCCCAGTATTTCAAGAGGATTAGTGAATCTGGGATTAAGAAGATGTGCAGAAATATTTTTGTCCTACAGCAGAATCTGACTAACATCACTATGTCCCGTGAAGCTGACCTTGACTTTGCCAGGTAAATTAAATACTTTTCTACTTCACAGGGGCAAGAGTACATAGGGACATTAGTGTTATATTTTTTATTCCAAGTCCTGGAAGCCTATGACATCTGTCATTTCAGTATGGGTCAGCCTAGACACTTCATACTAGGCAGATACTGTAGGCTGGAACAGATAAGCCATAAATATTCTTGTAAAAACTGGGATCCTGTGTGGCTGTTCTAAAGTCTGAGAAATATATTCAAAAACCCTTTCAAAAAATCACCTGAAAGATTCCTTTTGATTTTCACACTTGTAACAGGTCATAAACCTTCTTGAGAAACGTGGTACATCCAGCAAACCACTTGTGCACAATCCCTGCTTGGCTAATTAACTCCAGACATTATAGATACTGTATAATTCCAGTACCAACAGGATGAAAATATTTGAAAATAGGGTTCCTGCATATACTGATATGGCCACCTGGCTCCCATTTCGCTTTCTTAATTGTCACCAGAAAGCCTGTAACACTAACTCTGGCTATTTAAAAAAATGACCAATTAACTCCAGAGTACAGTATTATTCTACTGAGCACATCATTAACATCTGAGACATTGTCAAACCTGCATGTGACCTCCACGCTGTTCTCCCAGCTGAAAGCACAGCACTGAATTGAGATTTCGCAGGTTTGCTCATGAAGGAAACCTGTTTCTGATTTGCATCCACAATGTGTCATCAACTGCCTCATGAATAAACAGTCAACTTGACTAACGACTCCAAACATGGTTGGTATTATTTTAGTGGCAATACAGTTAAGAAATGATGAAGTGGACCTCTGGTATAACCTACACTGGCCAGACTGCCATTTAGTTTGAAAAACATCAACTACCTTTATGTTGTAAACTGCTGCACCTGGAAACCTGGCAGATTGAATCACATCCACACATGCTTCCAAATTGCTCCCCACAGTTTGCAGAATTAGTTTATATGTCCACAGAAGATCATTAAGTGCACAGAAGATCATGAAATGCACCCTATAATCAAGCTCCTTGTTCTGTTAACTCCAAATGTGATAGCTGTCATTCTATTTGCACTCTATTTACTCAAATTCATTCTGAACAGCTTGGTCAAGACTCCCGCAGACAATCCGTGTCCCAGGCTGGCCTCCCGGCTGGTATTCTGCTCTTTTGTCAGTTCCCATCCTGTTCCACATACAGGGGCAGAGCGGTGGCTCTGTGGCTAAGGATCTGCGCCTGTTGCTAGAAGGTTGCCGGTTCAAATCCTGCAGCCGGCAGAGGAATCCTACTCCGTTGGGCTCCTGAGCAAGGCCCCAACTGCTCCAGGGGTGCCGTACAATGGCAGACCCTGCGCTCTGACCCCAGACTCTCTCCCTATCCGTGTGTCTCATGAAAAGCAAGCTGGGGTATGCGAAAAGATAATTCCTAATGCAAGAAATTGTGTACGGTCAATAAAGTGATGTTATTATACTGCTCCTGTTTGGCCAGTGAATTCTAAACTTGGCAGGTTTCTTTCTAGTTTCTCCTTTGTTTACTTGCAGTTCACTCATACTATTAAAAAAAGTGGATGGAATGTTGCTTGGAAGTCCTTAAAATGCCTTGCAGTTTTCAAAGGATTATTTTTTTAAATAGTAATACAAAGTTGTATTAGTAGTAGGGTAACTTGGGCAGTATGAACTCCCTCATCTTGATGTACAATCTCTTCTTTTTTCCTTATTTTAAGTAACTGAGTTGATAACTACAGTTAATGAAAACTTCCAAACTGTCTCCTGTATCCTAATCTTACTTCCATACACAAAGGTAACTTCTGTACTCAGTACATTTACTCTGCCTGTCTTACTCTGAAATATTGATGTATGCCTCTTTTTTTACTACTATAATACCTTACTTTCTGGGTCATATTCTCAGGTACTGAATAGGCTTCAGTTTGTGCATAATTCAATGATTCATGCTGTACTTAAAAGTACTGTGCATCAGTACATAACTCTCATCCTCTATAAATTGCTTTTGTGAAGTTTAGAGTTAGCTTTAAGATTTTCTTGCTCATGTAAAAAACACTGAATTGCATAGTTCTATATGATATTAAGGATTTACTACATGAGTACAGTCTAGTTTTTTTGCTTAGATCTGCTGATTTTGAACATCTCACACAGCAGAAAAGCACGTTACAAAGAATGGACAACAGACCGATGTTTCTACTACAGCTTTTAGTGTGGATATTTAGCCGTACTTTTATTTTCATTTTTTGTTATGTATGCTATTGAACACTTCTGTGAAATTCTTATAAAGTACTCATACATTAAAAAGGTTCTTATTATAATGTGTAGGAATACAGACATTTACTGATGTATAATACAGATATTCTTCCACTATAGCTGCATTATCACTGTAGGCTCCTGCATCAAATAAACAACTAACGTTAACAACTCCTGCCAGTAAGTAGGCATCATTGGGTTGTTACTTATTGAGCAGGTGTCAAAAGAATAAAATGGATCTTTGAAGAAAGTATTACTATGGATATGTTTTGGGCTCCTTTATAAGGAATAAATGGGGTCTGTTTGTGTATCAATTTGTAGTAGAACAATTACACTAAGCGGGGAAAAAAATATTTGTATGTTAAAATTCCCATTAGAATAATAGGTGGTTTTCTTTAATTTTGTGTTTGTGTCAAGAGGGGAGTTTGCCTTATTGAATGATATTGTGTTAGAAGCTTCACAAAGTTGCTGCCTGAGAGCTGGTTGCCATGGTTTGGAATTTAAATCAGGACTGTCAGTTCTTCATGTCCATATTCAGCAGTCAAAGAGCGTGGCTTGAGTAAAAATTGAGCTGTACTGAGACAAACATGTATAATTGGCTCTTAGTCATCAATTTAAAACCTATAGGATGTGTGCTATCTGTACCTGACAGTTTTCCAAAGATCAATGTTGTGGAATTTAGCTCGCAGGTTTTACAGCCAAACTTAAAAACAAAAAAAGGGTTACAGAGCAGCCTAATTTTCTGTAATCAATGTTTTCATTACAGATGCTGTCATTCATTTTCTGAGCTGCTCAATAATTGATGTTAACCGTGTAATGATTGCTTTATTTTTCAAGATTGTCATCTTGTTTTTTATTTGAAATCAGTGGACATTTTGTACTTAAATCAATAACATTAAGAGGATATCTTATTAATCTGAATTGTTCAGAAAGATGCATTGCAATGTGACTTCTCTTTATTTTGCCTTCATTCCAAACTGTGCTTAATAAGGCTTCTAAGGGCTGGGACATCATGTGCTTGCCTTTATGCCAGACGTAAGGCATACTGCCAGACTGGTTAAAACTACCCATTTGGTGTTAAAAAGTTAAAGATTCAAATTCGTTATTTTGATCATCTCAAGAAAGAGCTAAAGCATTGGCCACTAATAGGGGACCTCCAAAAACGTGGAATATTAGTGCACATCTTTTCAAATATTATCAATTTTTAATGCTGTTGTATGATAGTGAAAACCTTAAGTCGAAATTCATCTGGAAAAGCAAAGGTCTTCATACCCTACTAAGCCATGTGATGCTAAAGCAGATGGCCCAGAGTATAATGTATGTTTTGGCTGCAACTACAGCATGGTTTTCACATCAGAATGCCCTCCTTGTTAGCAATCACAGTTGCACATTGTCTAGACAGTCAGTCACACAGCTATACCAGTATATTACTGTCTGTTTTGTCTGCCCAGTTCTCACTTTCTTACAGAGAATGTGTATACTGCTGCTTCTTTTTTCTCTGACAGACTTGTCCTGCAACATCTCAGTAATGTTCGGGTCCAGTGGAGGCCTGCAGGGCACTTGCTGTTCTGCTTTCTGATTCAGAGAATTTTAGTTTTAACTGGATTTGTATTTTATGCTTCTACAATTTATAAAGCAACCCCTTTATGTGTGATGCTAGCATTTTGGGTTCTCCTGCAGTTTCCCTCCCAGAATACCTGTACTTATTAAAAGTTAAATATGCATAATCAATATTTCTATATTCTTTCGTACTGCAGTTATGTTACCATTCCTGCCTTCACCGAGGGTCCCTGTTTACAACAACTTGTCTGCCTAGCTAGACAGCTTATTCAGTTATGCACATATCTCATTTGTCGGGTTGTCAGGTTCTTACTCAGGGTGTCTTAGTAGCACAAAGCTTTAACAAAGGAAGAAAATGCCAGTAATATGGACACAGTGCTTTACAGTCTTTCGAGATGGATACTGAGCTTTTGCATCAGCCACTGGTTTTCTTCACAGAGTTTACACTATCCCGATAATGTGACTTCCAATCCATGTGTTCTAGCGGTGATCTTTCATATTATAGGAAGGTCATGAAGACCATCCCTGTCACATTCTAGGGCACCTGTTAGCCTTAAGGATTGGTAAATGTGATTAGCCTTGACAAGCTGGGTGTGTGCCGAGTATGAGACCTTGGTCTGAGTATGCTGCATGTGTAAAAAAAATAGAGTGCTTTTCTGTCACCTTCTTTGGTTATAGGTGATATACTGTACAGTATGTCCAATTGATTTGGAGGAGATAGATTTAGTAGTTCAAAGTGTGAGTCGGGACAGCTCCAGACCAGAGGGACATTCAAAATCTTCAGAATTTTAGTTTTTAAAAAGCAAGAAAATTACACAGCCCTGTGTAGAGGATTTTCAGATTAGCCAGTATTCTGGGTATGTGGGTACAACGTAAAAAAGCTAAAACATTAGAAATGAGACATTGTGCTTCTCTTCCTTGAAATGTACCAGTTAATTACCTTCCACATCAGGAATCATGAGAGATTGCATACTGTGGTCTGTCTGCTATCAACTAAAATCTCTGATAATAAGCTTTCTCCAGCAATTCAGTCTCTAAAAGACATTTTGACTAACTTCTTTATTTATATTTATATAAGTGTCATGATATGAGCCTACGAATCAATCTCATTGAACAGTTTTATTGTGATACTTTATTTTATTTTGAGTGTATTTAGAAAAGAATCATAATAAACTGCCGATTACTCTCTTTTCTGGCCTATGGGTT